CCATTAGGCGCCCCTTTACAGGCATGTTGACCAGACTGATTACTGCTCTCCCAGTATTTGGCTACAAATGGGAGCCCCTGAACATAGCCATTGCATCTAACTTGTACCCCCTTCTGGAAGGGAGGTTTCACTTAGGCCTTGCTGCCAAGTTGCATCGAGGCTCATGGTTCTTCTGTGGACTCTATGCCTGGAGAAGTAGTTCTGCCCCCAGCAGCTGTCTTCTCCCTTCCCTCACTCTTGATAGCCAGTGAAAAGGCTAGTGTGATCAGATTTGTTCCTGAAGCCAGGGTATAGTGACAGGGAATGGAGGCCTCTTTGTCTGTAGACAGACTGTCACCTCCTGCTGCCAGCCTCTGGGCACCCAGGCACCTGTCAGCAGTCCTGGCACCTCAGCAGCTGTGTCTCGAGTATTTGTGTTTCTTCTAGCTTCCAGCCATGTGAGGAATATGTTTTATACATTTGTGGCAGGGGTGGGAAGGGAGAGACTAAATAGAATAACCGTGAATGCATTCTGAAAATGGAGCACTTCCAAGCATTTTTAAAATACATGTATCCATTACAGTGATAAATTTCAGGCCTTACTTTACCAAACACAAACAGAAGTTCCTGTAGAGTTTATGTGAAGTACAGGAGTAAAGTGTGGGCTTTGTCCATCTCTCCCCCAAGATGTCGCTGATCCTACACAACAGAAAAGAGCATTGAACAGTGCCCTTCTGTGACATTCCATCTGCCTCTTTCTCCCCTGAGATGCAGAACATTTCTGGGAAAACAGCCTGATCAGATTGGGTTTTTTTAACTCAAGCGTAAATGGTGAAACTACACAAAGTATATGGATCAGAATGGTATCTGTTTTCTCTGACAGCTCACTCCTCTTTGTCTAGACTGAAATGACGGTATTCTGTCTCCGCTGGTTCTGGGCCATGGAGGGTGTGGCCGAGCCAGAAGATGAGATCCAGCTCCTCACCGTCTCCCGGTCTCCCCAGCCCAGGCGGAGGCGCTGGGTAGGATCACAGCCCCAGACAGCTCGGTGCTTATGGAGTGAGGCCGGGCACCTCCCAGTCTGTGCTCACACAGGACCTCCTCACTGCCGCGTCCCTCCTAACCCTGTGTCTCCGCCAGGGCAGGAAGGGGAGCTGGGTTGTAAGTTGTCCGTAAACTGCTGAGTACTCAGTTCCTCTATAAACTAGAATCTTTTCAGCTTGACTTAGATACTACGGTTACAGGACAGCAAAGCATCGTGTATAGTTTCGATGAAACATTTGTGAGCGTCCCTGCGTACCCCGCCAGAGGGTGGGTTGTGGAAATGTGGGCCGTGCCTGGCCCTTTGTAGTTGGTGTGAGGGTGAGTCCTGGGGCAGGCAGGCAGGAAGGAACAGAATGAAGAAGCAGCGGGGTGTTCTACTTCTGTTCACTGTGATTTCAAAAGGCCCTTTGGCAAAATCTCCTGAGTTGGGCCAGGAGATGTTGATTGGTTAGGCCCGCTGGGGCTTTGGGTTTCGGGTGATTATGAGGACAATGAAACATGTACTGTAGGTGTCTTGACTTTATATGAAAAGCTACCTTGGGGTCATCCTCCATTCCAGCTCTCCCCCCTGCTGGCATTGGGAAAACAGCTTTTCCACTACTGGCTCTAAGTAAATGGAAACTTCCCCCACCCCCACTTCCTTTCATTCATTCAGTAAATTGCCTATTTAACCAGAACCAGGCCCAGGAGGAAAATGGCAAGTAAACCACGCTTTCTTCCAATCCTCATGGTTTTTACAGTGGTCATTCTCCCACATACACCCTCTTTGGCCTCAAAGATAGACCCATAGCCTGGTGGAACCATTCCAGGGATAAGGACCCATCCTCTCTCCCTGCCCCCATATAGGAAAAAGTTTTCTCACTTTGAGGACCTTACTTTTTTTTTTTTTAAGCTTTATTTATTTATTTGAGAGAGAGCATGAGCAGGGGGAGAGGCAGAGGGAGAGAGAGACTCTCAAGCAGACTCCCCACTGAGCACAGAGCCAGACACGGGGCCCTATCTCAGGATCTTGAGATCATGACCTCAGCTGAAATTAAGAATTGGACACCCAGGGGCACCTGGGTGGCTCAGTGGGTTAAAGCCTCTGCCTTCGGCTCAGATAATGGTCCCAGGGTCCTGGGATTGAGCCCCGAATCGGGCTCTCTGCCCAGCAGGGAGCCTGCTTCCCCTTCTCTCTGTCTGCCTCTCTGCCTACTTGTGATCTCTCTCTCTGTGTCAAATAAATAAATAAAATCTTAAAAAAAAAAAAAGAAGAAGAATTAGACATCCAACTGATGGAGCCATCCAGGCACCCCTGAGCACCCTATTTTTCACCTATAAATATAGAGAAGGACAAGGAAGGCACATCAGCAGATATGTAGGGAGTGCCTGCTCTTTGCCCAGCTTGGAGGCTTCTGTGATCTGAGTGAACCAGGCTTTGGGACCTGTGCGCTGGTGGAACCACAGTGTCCTCCAGTGTGGCTGGGGGTGGAGGGGCGGCTTGGCCCCTCCACAGATAGGAAGAGCTATCTGCAAATATTCCTAAGCCTTTCCTGAGGAAGAGGAGGTGCTCTAGGGGAATAACCAGACCAGTGGCTTGAAGTTGGATAAGAAAGCTTCGGATGTGTGAAAATACTGATGTTATAAATTGGTGCTTTCTGCAAAGAGGGCGAATGACAGGGAGAGTTAGCAAGTGCCCCGAATCTGGAAGACCTTTAGCAAAATCGGACGTGGGGGTTGGAAATGGGATTGTATGACCTGTGGGGTCCCTGCCGTGAACTCAAGATTTTGTGCCTGGAAGAACTGTCAGGAGAGAACTCGGATTTATCCTACAGATGCACTTGTACGTGTGTACAGACACCGTCTGTAGAACAGCATTGGTCATGGCGCTGTTGGGAATACAGAAAGATTGGAAACTATGCACGTGCCTACCAGGGGGTGGGCTAAATAAATAGCCCCACACCCAATGACACAGCTCATCCATTGGGGGAGAAAAAAAAGAATGTTCTTATAAACTGTGGAGGATCTCCAAGATGTCATATTAAATAGAGAAAGCAAGGTACAGAGCAGCATATATGGGCTGCCTCTCTCAGTAGGGGGCAGGACATCTTTCCATGTTTGCTCACAGGAGACTGCAACTCATCTCGAAGCATACTGGAGGAACTGGTTATACTGGTTGCCTGCAGGGAGGAGAGCTAGACAGGGACAGGGAGATTTTCCTCTGAGTAACCTTTGTACCTTTTGAACCTTGAATCATGGAGATGGAGGACTTGTCACAAAACAGAAGTAAAAGTGTATTTTTTTAACTTTAAAAATAAGGAGGTTTTACTCATTGGAGTTCTGAGGGAAACAGAGGGGGAATGGAAAGCAAACGAGCCTCTGACTGGGCATCTGCTGTGAGCACAGATTACTTTCAATCTGTAGACATAACACTAAGGCTGGGAAAGGGTTGGAAGTACTTGCCTGTCCTCACGGGTGGACCTTGCACCAAGCTACCTGTTGAAGGAGGCAGCTCTTGGAAGGGGGCAGGGTGGGGGGGGGGGTAGGCCAAAGAAAGGGATGTACAAGGAAGGGAAGGAGGAAGGTGGTTTCTTCAAGGGGCAGGGCAGACCCACTCTAGTGTTGCCCACTTCGGTGCCGGCCCTTGAGCGGGGGGGCCAGTAAAGCCGAGGTGCACCACAGCTTGCTCCGTAGGTCAGCTGTGTTGTGTTTCCCTTGGCTTTTGCTGAGCTCAGAAATGGAGTTCACAGTGCATGTTAACAGGCAATCAGGTGACGGCTGGAGCAGGCAGGCATTTCTGTGGCGGGAGAACAGCCTCAGCTCTCGGCTGTGAAGGAAAAGATGTGTTCTTCTGCTGGGTGTCAAATGTGCCATCTTTGTCTGCCAGCTGGAGACTGGCTGGAAAGTTGGTCGTGGTGGTTTTTTTGTTTTTGTGGAGGTTTTTTTGTTTTGTTTTGTTTTGTTTTGTTTTGTTTTTGATTGTCAGACCCAGGCTCCTTACTTGCACTTAGAGGAAAAAGCATCCAAGCTCTGGAACAAAAGGTTCTCTTTCCTTTTTTTTTTTTTTTTTTTTTTTAGAAAAAGAGCCATGAATGAGCTCGTTATCACTGCAACCCAAAAGAGGAGGAGGAGGAGAGGAAGAGAAGGAGAGAAGGTAGCCTCCTCCTCAAGCCCTGCCCTGCCCCTGCCCAGGTTTCCTGGAGTGGGGGGCTTGGATCTGGCTCAGGGTGACCTAAGCCAGATGGCTGGAACAGGTGGTCCATACAGGGGGCAATGCTGGAGACCTTGGATGCTTTAAGACTGGCTCGCTCTGTCTGCTATGATCCAGAGGAAGGATACATGTCTGTACCTTCAGGGAGCAAAAGATCCTCTGATCAGAGTTGTATGCCTGTTTCACTCTGACTTCTGAGAGGCTCCCGTGTTCACGTCCTCTGCTTGTCTCAGCTCTCGAAATCATCCTCAGATCTCAGAGCTGGTAGCCAGGCAATGTCAATTATCTGTTGAATGCTGGAATTTACCACGCACGGCTTTAGGCTTTAGGCACTTGGGGTGTCACAGGGAACCAAGTTGGCAAAGTCTCTGCTCTCATGGAATTTAAATTCTGGTGTGAGCAGTGAAATGTGCCAGGTCTGGCCTGCTGGTGCCCCCTGTGCCCTGTCTCTGCTGGGCTGGGAAACTGCCGCAGGGAGTGATACATAAATGCCAAGGAAGGAAGATTCGCCAGCCTTTCCAGCAGCTGAGCACAGGTGGTCTCCCACTCGCTCTCCTTGGAGCCTTTCACCCCCATTCAGCTGTGGTCACAGAAGGGCCTCTCTTGATCTGAGCGGCAAAGAGTTCTGATCTGTTGCAGGTTGGTGCTGGACCTTGGAATGATCTGGAAGAGACCTGGAGGACCTCCCCTGCCCTTACACCCCTGCCACAGGTGCTGATGGTGAGCTGGCAATGTTTAACCTGAGCCTGACAGCCTCTCCTTTTTGTTCCTCTTTCTTCCGTTTCAGATTGAGAAAATCATGAGCTCTATTGGCGAAGGGATTGACTTTTCTCAGGAACAGCAGAAGATCTCAGGTATCGTACCAAGCAGCCATTTTTCCCCCGTGAAATGCAGAACTTTGGCTCCTTTCTGGCTCAGGTTTTTTTTCTCTGACCCAGAAGACAGACATTCGGTGGGCGAGAGAGGTCAGCCTCCGCCTACCCCATGCTGCTGCAGGTCAGAACCTCATGGATCTGTATGGCCCACCGAGCTATTATTTCAGAGTTATGACACTTTTTACATATTGGAGGGGAAATTGCATTTTAGGCCCGCCTGTTAGGAAGGTTTTGTTGTTTGTTGGTTGGTTTGTTTTAAAGTTAATGGTTGTCACTTATCCATAATTATGTGTGTAAATGTAGGCTGTCTCTGATTGGCTTAAATTGGAGTACACCTCAACTTGGTCTCTCCAGCTTCCCCGACAGCTCTGGCACCAACCCTTCGTGAGAAATGGGCTCTTGCTTGCCTCCTCTATGCCAGCGGCAGAGCCTTGGAGTCGATCAGTGGGGTCAGACCATTAGGGGGTGTCTCCTGGAGGGAGTGGCTTTGCTGCTCCTCCTAACGTCTTTCTCTGCATTTTTCCATTTACTTAGTCATTCATCATTTTTACTGCAGATCACTGCCACTCGGGGTTTGCTTTTCTTTTCAAGGCCCTAGGGGTGAGGTCGGCCTCCATTTTCCTTTGTTTGAAGCCGGCAGCTAGAGAGGCCATGTCTAAGTCGTTTTCCTTGGTAATAGATTTGTGGTTGTGTTACTTTTCTCAGGTGAGGTCACATTTCTAAAGGTGCCTCCTCATTAGAACAAGTCTCCCACCCCTTCCCCCAAGCATCTGCAGACCCCCTGCCACCAGAACTCCCAGGCTGAGAGCAGCTCAGAGGGGCCTGGCCTCTCCCCGTCGTCGTGGAGAAATGCCTCTCTAACCAAAGGGGTGGGGTTCCCAGAGCTTCCATCCAGAATTGGCCTCCTAGCCCAAGGGACACTTCTAGCTCCTCTGGCCCCATCAGGAAGGCTGATGGATGGAGACAGGTGTACACCTCAGGGAGAAAAGGGCTGTGGAGGCTTTGGTGCTTATGGAAAGAGCGTGGGCTCTGGAGGCTCAGCCCTGGGTTCAGATACTGCTTCTGGATACATACAGGTCTTAGGCAAGTCACTTACTTGCCTCTGAGCCCGCAGTTCCCTATCTACAAACATCTAAATAATAGAACCTACCACACAGGTTTGTTGGGAATGAGTCCTAGATACAAAAAATTGAGCAGATGAGGTAAATGGTGGCACTGCTCATCTTTTGTCCATGAAATAATTACCTAATCTTATTGAAAAACCTAAAGAAGTGGGGGGGCATCTCCCCTAGCTTGTCTCCCTCCACTGCTTTTCCAGCTGGGTTCCTGGAGCCTCCTCTCCCCAGCAGCCTTGCTGCCCCCTGGCTCCCAGCAGAGGGGCCACAGCCCGCTTTGGTCTGTCCCAGTCCGTCTTGGATGATGCTGGGGTCTGCAGAGGTGGCTCTTCTGGCTAAGAGTTTGCGGCTCTGCTTCCACGTGCTGGCTCCACACTCAGGCAAACAATCTCATGCTCTGTTGTGGTGTGTGGGCTTTAATCGAGAGTCAGGTGTTTGTTGGGAATAGATGTTCAGTACCAAGACAAACACTGCTGCCAGTTTTCAAAGCTGTGCTTTGGGGACAGCCAGGAATGGGATCGATAGTTCAGCTGAAACTGCTATCCACTACCTTGTACCCCTCTGTGTCTGAGGAGTGCATGTGCTTGAGAGTGTGGGTCAGAGCAGACATGACCTCTCCACCTTGATAAATCAGGAGATGTGGCAGCATCCCTGGAAAACACATTTCTGGAAGAGCCCTTCTTGGGGGTGGTGACACGGAGCTCTTTCCTTGCCCTGCGGGTCCCACCCAGCCCTTGCCCCCACAAACCCACGTGAGTTTGTGGTCCGGCTACCGCCCTGCGTCTCCGGATCCTGTTTTGGCACCACTGCACTGAACCATCCTCCATACAGCAGCTTAGGGGAGAGCCCAGGGCAGGCCGGTGAGCACGGCCACCTGGACAGAGAGGGCATCCGCCCATGCTGCAGAGGCCCAGCCCACTGTGTCTGCGCCGCTGCCAGGCCAGAAAGCATAGGAGAGTAGACTCAGCTCCGCCCGTGAACTCTGGATTCTGCCTGATGGGGCGGGAGGGGGTTTTCCCCAGGACCTCAGGGAGCACCAGCCTTCACCTCGGATCAGAGCAGAGTTCTCGTTTGTTCTGAACAGTCAGTAGCAGGGTTCAGATTGTCCTTAGGTTTCTGGATCTGGAAGAGGAGGCGTGGGCTCTGGGGTTGCCAGCCTGGGAGGAGGAGTAGCCGGCCGGCAGGCAGGCAGCCATTAACCAAGCCCAGGCTTGCCCAGTGTGCCTGGTTTCACAGAGGCGTGTGTCCTGAAGGGCAAGACCCTAGCTGGAACTGGAGTCTTATTCTTGTCTTGGGCCTCAGGAACCTGAGATTCCAGCACTGGAGCCACTTACCTGAATCCCTGACAGACAGGTTTCACAGCTCATTCCACTGTCTGGAGCCCTAAGAAGGGAAGTCTTCCCACTGGCCCAGGCAGTTCTGGCTGCTTTGAACAAAGGCCTGTCTGTAGAGCAGCGGAAGAGATCACTTGCTTTCTTTTGCTAAAGCCAGCCGTTGTAGTAGCCGTTCACTGCAGGCTCCTCAGGGGCCTGATCTCCCTGCACGGAGCCCCCTTCTTCACCAGGGCCGTCTACAGTCTGCTGAGCTGTAGGTGTCCCCCCGCATGTTTAGAGGGGGCCATGTGGTTCCTGTACATGTTACATTTTCTGTCTTCACAGCTGTACTTGGGGTTCGGGCTTCTTCCTTGGTGCCCCCCTCCCACGCCCTCCTCCTCTAGATTGTGAGGAGCCTGCTCTGGGCCTGGTGCTTCTCCCCTGGGCTCTAATGGGCCCAGAGAGAAGCCTCTTTCCAAGTTATTGAGTACGCTCGCTCACCTGAGGAATATTAGGTGGAACGTCTTTATTTCATCGCCTGTTTCTGTGACGCCCCATGGCTTATCCTCTTGGCAGGGAGGCACAATCTTTCTTACATGGTGAGTGGGGGCGGGGGCGGTCACTTCACCTGTGGGCTGTGCCCTCAGGGCCATGTCATTCCTCTGTCCCCTTCTCTGGCTGTCCTAGAAACTGTTGGCCCAAACTGTAGGAATGTGCCTTCTCTGTCCCCGATAAGCTGTTTCCAGTCCCTTGAGCGGCAGGTAGAGTCTCCCCGTCTCCGCCTTTCATACGCATGTGTGTCGGCTGACATGCGATACCGGGGAACCTGTCATTTTGCTCTGGTGCTTGTGCTGCTGTGTCCTTCTCCCTGGGCGGTGGCAGCAGCAGCAGCTTCTGCTCCGATGTCCGATCCCTGATGTATTTTCCTGAGCGTGGAAGGGAGGAGGGTGGGGAGGGGAGAGGGGGAGGGCCAGACATTATGAGAGTGAGCGAAGGCTGTGGGGCCGGCAGCAGGCAGCGTGGAGCCCAGGAGCCTCCAGACAAAGCACTCTGCTGCGGTTCTGTGAGCGCACGCATCCGCCGGGAGCAGGCAGGACCACAGCTGCCCAGCTGGGGGATTACAAGCAGGAATGAATCAGCAGCCGGGGACACTTGACTTCGTGGGCACACAAGAGCCCGCCGCCTAGGTTCCCTGGAGCAGACAGCCCCACTCAAGGAAAGGGGACCCAGCGTCTTGGAGCGCTGCTGCAGCGTGCATCAGGAGGCCGCCGGGTCCCTGACCACCACCTCTTCTGCAGAGGACAGAGGAGGGGAGCCCAGGACAGTGGGTCGCCGGGGGCTCCTAGATAACCAAGCCAGTTGGCCTTGGACTGCCTTGAAGGGCAGAAAGTACCGGGAACAACAGAATGACTTTCACCGTGTCAAGAGTTCTCTGGAGGTGATGTTTTCGTAGTTGGTTCTTCTTTTTCCTCCCTTCCTCTTTTTTTTTTTCTTTTCCTCCTTTTATCTGTTCTTGCCCAGGAGAACCAGAGAAGTAGGTGGGGGTTAGGTGCTCAGCTCAGGTCTGCAGGGAGGGCTAAACTCTGTCCTCCCCACTGTGCCACACGCCCCTGTCCGGTGCGAGGAGCAGAGTAGATACATGTCGTCCCTTCCCCTCTGGTCCTCCGAGGAGAACGTCAAGATCCGGAGACCCTGGGAAGACAGTTGCTGTCTTTATCACTCAGCCAAAGAGAGAACAGCACCGAACGTGAATAGACTTAAGCCGCCGCAGCTCAGCTGACAGAGGACCGCTTCCTTTTCCCCTTTCTTTCATCGGGCTGGGTTTTGTCTTCTCTAGCCAAGAACTGGATCTGCTTGCCTGCTTTCCACCTGAGCAGGCAGGCGAGTCACAGGCACAGCCACTACCACAAGAGGAAAATGAATGCCCAGCCCCGGCGAGAGAGCCCAGCCCGGGAAGGCAGCCGTTCAGCCAGCGCCCTGGCGCGGGAGACGCCCCACTCACCCGCAGCCAGAGTCTAGCTGTGGACTGAGCGCCTGGCCCCGCCGGCCACAGGGCCCCCAGGAGTGCGATGTCGCTGTCACAGCCGAGCCACACCTGAGCTTGGTTCCTGGGCAGCCGCCCAGGCTCTGCACCCTCGGCCCCTCTGCCTTGAGCCTCTGAGCACAAAGGGCCGGTGGCCATGGTTTGCTTATTCCGGGACTGCTGGGGGAAAACAAGTAAAAGTCTCTTTTCTCCCCCTGCTGGGTTCTGTGCTGCTTGCGTTGCATGTGCCGGGTCCCTGTGACCAGTCGCCGCCGCTTCCTTCCCGGAGCCCTCGCTGTGTGCCTGTGTCCCTCCGCTGCATGAAGAGGCGTGCGCTCTCCCGACCGGTGTGTGCTGCAAGGTCGCAGGACTTGCCCCTCGCCTGAGGCCCCGCGGGGGCTCCTGAAGTTGCATGGATGAGAGAAGCCCCCCAGCCCCTCTAGTGCCTGTGGGAACAGACTTCCTGAAATACCTCAGTGCGAACGCTGACGAGGAACTGCCCCGACCTGTGCGCAGCGACCGTGCATGTGCCACCGCGGCCCCGGAGCCGCTCGGACTGGGGGGTAGGGGGGCGGGTGTGTGTGTGTGTGTGAGCAGCCCGGGCCGTCCTGCCCTTGACCTGCACCTGGAAGAGGAGCTGCAGGTCCTCCGCTCTCTGGTCTCTTGTACATAGTCTGGCTGCCCTATGGTAATGACTATGATGTGGCAGTGCCATCTGTCTTCCTCTGAGTGCCGCTGCTACCGCCTTAATGGTTTTTCCCTTTTCAAGCGTCTGCCGATTCCTCTCTCGTCAGGTTCGCGGACGCTGGAGCAGAGCGTCGGGGAGTGGCTGGAGGCTGTTGGGCTGCAGCAGTATGAGAGCAGGTTGCTTCTGAATGGCTTTGACGATGTCCGCTTCCTGGTAAGTGCCCAGAGGCCTCCTGGGGGAGGGCTGCAGCCCCGCGGAACCGGGCTGCTCTGCTCTCCTATGGCCCCCGCTGGAGTGTGAAATGGTATGTAGACCTGCGTGCCAGCGAAGCGCCGGGTGCAGTGACTTAGACATCTAGGAAGTCTGCCGAGCGTCGTGCACCTTCTTTCTAAACCCTGCTCCCAGAAATAGTTCTGTCGGGAGAGCTGTTTGCAGGTCCTTTTCCCGAGAGGCTGGGTCCCTGCCCGCAGACTTTTGCCCCTCGCTGGTCCCCCTCTCAGGCCTCAGACCATGTGTTGTTGGTGAGGCCTCAAGGCCCTTTCGTTCTGGGTCAGACACCAAGAGTTTTGGTGGATGGGACAGCTAGGTTCCCTGTGGTGCCTCCCTGTCCCGTCTCTGTTGGATACCAGAAGTTTCCTTTATTCCCCAGAATGCTGCTGTGAAGCAGGTAGTCACTGAAGCAAGGAGCCTTGGCCAGCAGAAAGGCCTCTCCCCTGTACATCCCTGGCCCAGCATCCAGGGTGGGGAATGTGGCCGTGCAGCCTCAGGGAGTCCTAACCTCAGGCATGGCCCAGAGGAGAGGCTGAAGTGGCAGTCTGAGGAATCAGTTGCTCTTCTGAGGTATCATTTGTACTGTCTTTTTACACAACGCAAGGTGTCAAAGAAAAAGAAAAATCTAGGTGTCTCTCCTCAGGCTGCCTGTGGAGTCCGGGCCTGGCTGGGACCTGGGATTGGGATCCAGTGCTCCTTCTGTCCGCCCAGAAAGTAGCTCAGGCAGGGTACCCATGAGCCTTCCTCTCCTTGAAGCCCTCCAGGATATGGTAAAGGAAAGGGGTCAGGGTCAGTCAGCCCAGAGCTTCTAGCTCCAGTATGGGTCCTGTGGGTTTCCCACTGATGGGCTTGCATTTGGTGCTTTCTGAATAGCAGCTTGCCCAGGGAGCAAGCCTGGGGCTGCCGGGAGGAACCCTCACTAGGACAGGCTCCATCTCCAGGGCAAACAGTAAAGTCTGTAGCAAACCACCCTTCCAAAGCCAGTTTAGGGCCAGTTATTTTAAATAGCAATTTGTTTGTCTTTTTAAGTTGAACTAGGTATATTTATGGTTCTTTTTTTTTTTTTTTTTTTATGTTTCTTATAACCTAATCCCTGACTCCCCATGGTCCTGGGGGAAGGGCAGCAAACCCAGGATAGAGGTGGTGGTTCAGCCAGTGAGTTGGGGTAGTTGGCCCCTGGTGCTGAGTGGTGAGGGACCCTCCGTCTCCCAGCACAGCCCCTTCACCAGACCAGCTGTCAGACAGGCAAGGGCAGTGGGGGGGAAGGCTGTGGACTTCATAGTGTCCCCCTCCCTGTGCTTCAGTATTTTAGAGACTGAGCTCTTGACGTCTTGCCCCTCCTTCTGCTGACTTTGGAAAGGGTGAGGTTCCCAGCCCTCAAACAACATTTAAAGACTCCTTTAAAACCGCTTGCCTGCCTCTCCCCATGCTTACGTCCAGAAAGTAGCTGGGCGGGCAACTTGGTAAATCTGGCCCTGAGCCAAACATCCACACAGGATGCAGGGCTCTATTAGAATGTGTCTCTTTTCTTTCTTTCATGGAAGGACACTCACCAAGGGAGGCCGGGAGCTCAGTCTTTCTAGGAGCCTTCTAGGCCCCTCCTGTTTCCCTGGGAACGAGCTGTTCCCTGTGGCCGCTCTCCCGTTTCCGGCTGGGTGCTGGCGGGCGGAGTCTGTGCGGGAAGGAATGCTGGTTACACATCAGTTGAGCATGTTTCTTCTGATACCTGGAGTGGCCCGAGTACCCATGCAAAGCATCCTGGGTAATTTCATGTAAATTGCCAGATGGACTGTAAGGCTAATTGTTTTAGCAACCAGAAAAAAGGCAAAAACACACAAGAAGGGGGGCATTTTTATTTAAAAACATTCTCTCGCTGCATATGGTATAATTTCCATCTCGCTAGCTGTGCTATCTGTCCATGTAATTGGGTTTTCAGCAGGTTACACATGTTTTTCTTGGTTCTGAAAAGCCTAGGAGACTCTTCTTCAAGATCTCAAGTGGGTCCCTGGGAGCCAGGCTCTAGTTGTAGAGGGAGCATATGGACACGAAGAATGTTTCACAGGCAGGCTGCTGCTAGAGTATGTCCCTGTGATGGGCTCCTGCAGCCCCCGTCAGGGTGGGAGGGCCTTCACCATCGTGTGGTCTCATCAGCTATGCCTCAAGCCCGTCCAGATAATCTTGGCCCCGATGCTCTCCAGTGTTGGGGGATTCACCACCTTGCAAAGTAACAGCCAGTTGTTCTTTGTGTCTCTCAGGCTGAGCCAAAATCTGTTTCCTTGTGGTTTCTGTCCCCTGGCCCCAGGTTTACCTTTTGAGCCACAGAGAACACACTTCCGCCCCTTAGAAAATTGGCCACTTTCTGTCATGCCCTCCTGGGTCTTGTCTTGTGTAGGTCCAGCGTCTTCTTACTCTGGGCTGTTCCCCCTGTGATGTGGTGACTGAGCTGGACAGCATTGCACTTTAAACTTTATTCACCCTCCCATGCCTATGGGCAAAGAGCATCTTTGATCTGGAGGGATCAGAGGCAAGGCAGGGGGGGCTGCTGGGTGTTCCCTCGGCTGATCCGGCCGACACCAGTCCCGGGAAGACAGGGCCCAGGAGTTGGGCTCCTGCCTCTGCTGGCCGGCCCACCACACTGACTCACACATCACAGCCAGTTCCGTTTTTCACCCTGAGTCTTGTCCATGGGAAATGGGCTTGCCTAGGAGAAGGGAGGAAATGCATTTGATCAACACTGCAGGAAGGTGGTTGGTGGTCAGCGAGTGCCGGTCTCCCTGTCTGGGGACTGAACCTGACCTCTCTTCCTAGGGTGGCAGTTGAGTCAGTGATGGTGCTCCACATGCCAGAGTGTTAGGTAGATGTTAAAAAAACATTTTTGAAGAATGTCTGATACAGAGAAACATTCACCTTGGAGTGTTGAGTGAAAAAATCAAGACACAAAAATCCACGTGTGACATGATCTTAATTTTCAAAAAAGAAAACCTCTCTACATGAGAGGTTCAAGGTGGTCGGCCAGAACATTTCGGAGGTTATCTAAGGGGGACTGTAGGTGGCTGACTCTCTTTTGGAATGTAGTAGGTGTTGTGCCTTTGCTACCATGAATGAATGGATCTGAAGTTAGAAAAGCAAATAATGCACATGTCTGAAGGAACCTGATGGTCCAGCTGGGAAAACAAGCACACAAAGCAAAGCAATGAAAACAATAGAGTAGCCCAGTGGTACGCGCTATGGTGAGGCCTGTAGGTGCTGCAGGAGCATAGGGGAGGAGAACCCCGCTTCCCGGATGCAGACCGCGTGCTGGGTGAGGAACTGGCTCACGGTCCTGGGTGTATTGTTGGGTCGAGTCTCAGCTGGGGCTGTGAGGCCCAGAGGGCGGAGTCACTGCCAGTAAGTGGCAGTGCCGAGATGCTAGCCCAGATCCGTGCAGCTTTGAACTTCTGGATCACACGTGCTGTCTAAGGGTTTGCCGGGGCTGTGGGACCTGGAGGAGGGGCGAGTGTGGGGCCTGAGTGGTCTGTGGGGAATAAGGAGGTCAGTGTAGTATAGTGTAGTGTAGCATAGCCAGGCTGGAGGGGTGGGCTGGTTTCGACTATGAGCAGCCTTGATGGCCATGTTACGGGGGGCCCTCTGGTTGTGGTCCTCATCAGGCAGAGAGCCCCGGGGAGTTGGGGTGCACCTTAGATGATGGCACTTGGTGGAGAACGGGCACGTGGTGGGGGCTACGCCAGAGAGACAGACAAACGGAAGAGGGAAATGAGTCTGGCAGCCAGCTCTGGCTGGGTCAGAAACAGACCGAGCCGCGGGCCCGTCGCCTCTCACAGCCAGCATCGTCACGGAGGCCTCTTGCTCCTCCTGTCAATTTATTTCTCCACAGGCTTCCACCACGTGCAGATTGGCTCCTACTGCTTTCCTGTCTGTTTCTGAGGCCATGCCAGCTTGTTCCCGTGTGTTGGGGAGGGATGACAGGTGAAGAGGAGTGAGCCCTGAGAGGGCTCAAAGGCACAGGCTCAGGGAGGAGGGCATTCTTTCTTGGCCTCTGTGAGGTTTCCAGCCAGGTCCCCAGACCCCAGAGCTTCTCTCCGTGCTCTGTCTCTGGATTAGCTTCTCACTCTCCAGCCTGGGAAGCCGGCATTCTGTGCACAGGGAGGCCATGCCCTTGGGTTCTTACCCAGACTTCCCGTGCTCCCTCCCTTTGCCTTCTTCCCCTGAGGCTCCACGGGCCCCCTTTTGGCCCGGGCCTGCTGTGGCACTGCTGTCGAGACGCCTCCTCCCTGCCTCAACTTCTCCATCTGCCCTAGCACCCTCTTCAGCTCACAGAGCACTCTAACTGCTGGCTGCTCCTTCAGAATTTTCTGTGCCCCAATGCGAAGCAGGGCCTGATAGGGAGATTTTCCTCAGCTAGGGGCATTGGAGGGTCCATGGAGCCGGGACCTGGGCTTTGAAAGGAACACTCTGAAACTGTGCAGATCCCGTCTCCTGGGCTGACTCATGGCTGTGGTCACCTCCTCGGGGGGCCCCAAGGGTGGCTGCACCACCAGATGCTTCCTCGTCTCTGCTGGACCCTTTCACCTTGGGAGAAGGCAGGCTCACTTTAGGCCTCTTTCCAGGCCATGCTCTCTCTTGCTCTCCCTCTTCCTTTCTGTCTGCCAGAAAGGAGTTGTGGAGTTGTTCTGTGGAGTTGTTCAGGGTCGGGTGACAGCAGGTGGAGTCCCACTGTGGTTTCCCCTGGTACTGTTCTGGCCTTCTCCAGTCCCCTTGACAGGGAAAGGAGCTGAGAACTATCTTCAGGTCTGTGAGATGAACCGAGTTCACTTGAAGAAGGAGTTGGACTGTTCCTTGGCTTCTGATTTTGAGCAGCAGCAGGGGTTCTGTGCCAGCATCTCCAATGTCTGAGTGGTCACATATTCCAACCCCCAGCAGCACCCATGGGCAGGGCCCGGGGT